TGATAACAAAGTGTGGACTTTGGTGGATTTGCCCAATGATCGGCAAGCCATTGAGAATAAATGGATTTTCAAGAGGAAGACAGATGTTGATGGTAATATCACTATATCTACAAAGCTCGACTTGTCACAAAAGTGTTTTCGACAAGTTCAAGGGGTTGACTACAATGAGACTTTCTCAGTTGTAGTGATGCTTAAGTCTATCTGAACCATGTTAGCAATTGCTGCATTTTATAATTATCAAATCTGGCAAATGGATGTCAAAAACGGCATTCCTTAATGGATATTAAAGAAGAGTTGTATATGATGCAACTAGAAGTTTTTGTCGATCCTAAAGGTGCTAACAAAGTGTGCAAGCTCCAGCGATCCATCTATGGACTGGTGCAAGCATTTCGGAGTTGGAATATACGCTTTGATGAGGTCATCAAAGCATATGGTTTTATACAGACTTATGGTGAAGCGTGTATTTACAAGAAAGTGAGTGGGAGCTCTATAGCATTTTTTATATTATATGTGGATGACATATTATTGATTGGAAATGATTTAGAATTTCTAAGTAGCATAAAAAGGATACTTGAGTAAGTATTTTTCAATGAAAGACCTCGGTGAAGCTACTTATATATTTGGCATCAAGATCTACATGGATAGATCGACATACTTAATAGGACTTTCACAAAGCACATATATTGACAAGATTTTGAAGAAGTTCAAAATGGATCAATCAAAGAAAGGGTTGTTGCCTATGTTGCAAGGTGTGAAATTGAGTAAGACTCAAAACACGACCACAGTAGAAGATAGAGAGAGAATGAAAGCCATTCCCTATGCCTCAGCCATAGGTTCTATAAAGTATTCCATGTTGAGTACCAAACCTGTTGTGTACCTTGCCATGAGTTTGGCAAGGGGTACAATAGTGATCCAGGAGTAGATCACTGGACAACGGTCAACATTATCCTTAGAGGACTAAGGAGATATTTCTCGATTATGGAGGTAATAAAGAGTTCATCTTAAAGGGTTACGTCGATGCAAGCTTTGACACCGATTCGGAAGACTCTGAGTCTCAATATGGATACATATTGAAAGTGGGAGCAATTATCTAGAGTAGTTCCATATAGAGCTTTGTAGACATAGAAATTTGCAAAAATACATATGGATCTGAATGTGACAGACCCATTAACTAATCTTCTCTCACAAGCAAAACATGATCACTCCTTAATACTCTTTGGGTTTTAATCATATGGTGATGTGAACTAGATTATTGACTCTACTAAACTCTTTGGGTGTTGGTCACATGGCGATGTGAACTATGGGTGTTAAATCACATGGTGATGTGAACTAGATTATTGACTCTAGTGCAAGTGGGAGACTGAAGGCAATATGCCCTAGAGGCAATAATAAAGTTGTTATTTTATATTATATTTCCTTATTCATGATAAAGTTTTATTATTCATGCTAGAATTATATTGATGAAAAACTTAAATACATGTGTGAATACATAAACAAATACAATGTCCCTATTAAGCCTCTACTAGACTAGCTCGTTGATCAAAGATGGTTAAGGTTTCCTAATCATAGACATGTGTTGTCATGTGTTGTCATTTGATAACGGGATCACATCATTAGGAGAATGATGCGATGGACAAGACCCATCCGTTAGCTTAGTATAATGACCGTTCAGTTTATTGCTATTGCTTTCTTCATGTCAAATACATATTCCTTCGACTATGAGATTATGCAACTCCTGGATACCGGATGAATACCTTGTGTGCTATGAGACATCACAATGTAACAGGGTGATCATAAAGATACTCTACAGGTATCTCCGAAGGTGTCTGTTGAGTTGGCATAGATCGAGATTAGGATTTGTCACTCCGAGTATCGGAGGGGTATCTCTAGGCCCTCTCAACAATACACATCATAAGCTTGCAAGAAAATTACAAAGGAGTTAGTCACAAGGTGATGTATTATAGAACGAGTAAAGAGACTTGCCGATAACGAGATTGAACTAGGTATGACGATACCAACGATCGAATCTCGGGCAAGTAACATACCGATGGACAAAGGGAATTACGTATGTTGTCATAACAGTTTGACTGATAAAGATCTTTGTAGAATATGTAGGAGCCAATATGGGCATCCAAGTTCCGCTATTGGTTATTGACTGGAGAGGTGTCTCGGTCATGTCTACATAGTTCTCGAACTCGTAGGGTCTGCACGCTTAACGTTCGTTGATGATATAGTGTTATATGAGTTATATATTTTGGTGACTGAATGTTGTTCGGAGTCCCGGGTGAGATCACGGACATGAAGAGTAGTCTCGAAATGGTCGAGAGGTAAAGATTGATATATAAGACGATGGTATTTGGACACCGAAAGTGTTTCGGGACGTACCGGGAAGGAATCGGGTCACTGGAAGGGGTTCCGGGCACCCCCCGGCAAGATATGGGCCTTACGGGCCAAAGGAGGGGATAGACGAGCCCACAAGGGGGCTGGTGCGCCCCGTCCCTTGTTTGGCCAGCCCTAAGGAAGGAAAAGGGGGAGGGCTAGACCCTCCTGCCTTTCCCTCTCATGGGAGAAAGGAAAGGGGGGGCACCCTCCCCTGCATTTCCCCGCACTCCAAATAAGGAAAGGGGGCGCGGCTTGGGAGGGACCAAAAGTAGGATACCTCCTACTTGGGCGCCTCCTTTGGCTGCTCCTCCCTCCCTCCCACCTATAATATATGTGGGAAGGGGGCGCCTAGCACACAACAGACAATTGCCTAGCCGTGTGCGGCGCCCCCCTCCACTGTTTACACCTCCGGTCATATTTTTGTAGTGCTTAGGCAAAGCCCTGCGGAGATCACTTCACCATCACCGTCATCCCGCCGTCGTGCTGTTGGAACTCATATTCTACCTCGCCGTCTTGCTGGATCAAGAAGGCGTAGGACGTCACCGAGCTGGACGTGTGCAGAACGTGGAGGTGTCATACGTTCGGCACTTGACCGGTTGGATCGCGAAGAAGTTCGACTACATCAACCGCATTGCCTAACTCTTCCGCTTACGGTCTACGAGAATACGTAGACACACTCTCCCCTCGTTGCTATGCATCTCCATGGATAGATCATTGCATGTGCGTATAAATTTTTTGTTTTCCATGCTACGTTTTCCAACAGTTTGCACGGATCTCTTCATCGGCGCGGACAGTGGACGTCGGGGCGGCGGCTCTAAGTGGTTTTTGTTTGCGTGCCGAGATGGTGATATCGGGAACAATGCGAGTGACAGCTCTATGAGGTGGGGCTCGATCTCGACATTGATAGGGTGGCATCCTTGCCCCGCTTGGGCGGTGGGGGTGTCAGCTCGGTCGATGCGCCCCAGAGGGGGTGGTTTGACTTTATGTCGGGGCGGCGGCCCCGAATGTGGTGCGACGTTCGTGGTCTGCGAGCGGTTGCCTTGAGCAGCGTGGGCTGCGGGCAGCTGGGTTGTGCGGCGTTGCTGCTCGAGGAGAGCGGTGGTATGTCGGGGCGGCGGCCCCGGAAGGCGGTGCCGGTGGAGTGTGCTGGGCGCGATGGAGCAGTGGATGTCGAGGCGGCGGCCCCAAGAGGATCTCTGGGGCGACTAGGCTTCTGTGGCAACGATGATGGTGGGAGCGATGTCGGCGACGCGGCAATGGTTGCGATAGTCTGGCTCTTCTCCGGCGTGTTCGCGGTTTGCCTCAGCTTATTTCTTGCTGCGGGGTCGAAGATGCGACGGCGGGCCCCTGTCGTATACGATGACTTGCTACAAGTGGCCTGTTCGGTGATTTTCCGTGGCGCCAGCTTTCGCCTGGTTTTAAACTTCCGAGTTCTCCGTCAGAGTCGGAGTTGCATCATCTGGCTGTAGGTCGACATGTTGTCGAGTCGGAGCTGCGTCGTCTGTCTGTAGGTCGACATGTTGTCAATTTGGGTGGGCTTCGTCCTGTGTGTCTATCTCTGGGAGTGGCTCGGCCTTTGTTGTTTTCTTTTACTTAATTAATAAACGAGGCAATCTTTGCCTCCGTAAAAACAAAACACTTACGTAGATGTAGCATTGCTCTTTTTTTCTGAGGCAGAAACCGGAGCACGGGAGCTCGCTGTGCGGAGCAACGGCCGCGAGATGGTGCTTGCAACGCCTTTTTTCTGAGGCAGAAACCGGAGCACGGGAGCTCGCTGTGCGGAGCAACGGCCGCGAGATGGTGCTTGCAACGCCTGACGTGGGGACGACCTACATCATCCGTTAGAGCGATCCGACGGCTGAGAGGCTCAAAATGTTGCGAAGGTTAGAGCGATCCGATGGCTGAGGGGCTCAAAACGCTGTGAAGGCTCGTAGTCGTAGGTAGCTGCGTTATACTGTTTTTGTTTCGGGGTCTAACCCTGAAGATGGACGGAATATTTTGGTTG